CTGGCAGGGGGCTGTAGCCAAAATGAGTTTGTCTTTAAGCTCTTCATCCATTCATCCAAATTAGGCCTTAACATGCTTGAATTGCATGAATTATGCTCTCTAAAGCCATCATTATTACCTAAAGCTCAATGAACTGAAAGATAAACACAAAAAGGATTAAAAGCACAAGTTTAACTCAAAAACATAACCAAATCATAAGCTAGAAGGGTACAAAATGATATACAATTATGAACCGATCACATACTCACGCAACGGTTCGTCATCTCTCTGTCGGATGGTATACAGGTCATCGGCAGAGTACAGTCTGTCTGTCTGAATCATGAAGTGGTTCAGGAAGGTTTGCTTCAGCTCGTCGAAGGAATCGACCGTCCCTGGCTCCAACTGGTAGAACCAATTTAGAGCTGCTTCTGTGAGTGAGGAAGGGAACAGAAGGCACATGCCTTCGTCACTTAGCCCTCGGCACCCCACTGCCGATTGGAAAGAATGGAGGTGCGTCAGTGGGTCCTCCACCCCTGTGTAAGGGGTTATGCGTAGGGGCTGCACGTCCCTATCCTGCCGTGAGTGCCGTATGCTCTCGGTGAAGGGTCCTGGCCGGAGCCTTCCCCAGTCCGGCTCCTGAGAGTGAGTTCGATCGTCCTCCATCTTCTGTGCCCTTTGAAGGAGGAGGTGGATGACTGGGTCCCCGTCCGGTATCTCCTCCGCCGTTTGATGCACCGATCGCTGCTGGGACCTGGCAGGGTTAACTTCAGAGAATTTCGTCGGCGTTGCCGAACGGTAGGACGATGAGCGATTGGTGGAAGGAGCATATTCTCGGTCAGACTCTGCCGTTGATTCCAGGACCGGTATCCTCCGTATCGGAGACTTCCTCCCCATGCTTCTCAGTTGGGGATCGTCTAGGCGTGCATTGATCCTGACCGGCGATTCCTGCCGTTCGGACTGCCGTTCGACTTCCCGCTCCAGCAGCCTGTGTCGGCAATCGGTATAGACCTTCTTCGGCATGTGGGGCTTATTCTTTGGTGCCGGGACCACCAATTGTTTAGACGGCGCAGGCGTTGCCTTTGCCACCTTCTTGCCCTTCTTCTGCCGACGGGGAGTTTGCAGGCTCTCGGAAGATCGATTGGTCTGAAGATTTTGCGTTTGCTGCTGGTTCAGCAGCTGTTGTGTTTCTTCCACTCTGGTCAAGAGGAGAGTATTGTGTTCTTGCATCCTAGCCATGTCCTGCCGAAGGGACACGACTTGGGCTAAAAGCTCCGCGTTTTCAGCGGCTTGGGTCGCAGGGGTATTAGTTGCCGGTGTGTATGGGGCTGGCGCGGGGCTAACCCCGCTTGGCATGCCGAACGGCATCCCCACCCGCGGTACGAACGTAGTTTTTTCAGTGGTCCCCATGTGTTCGGGATAAAGGGTCGATTTGTTTAATCGTTTCCCACAGACGGCGCCAAACTGTTGACGCCAAAAAGTGGTTTCCTAGCTTTGAGGGTCAACTTAGTAAATTTATGTCTTCGGTATCCTTGATGCTTCGGTAGACTGTGCGATCTGCAATATGAGCAAACGCACGGTAAGACCTAGGGCACCGGTGTAGTACCGGCCAAAGGCTCTCCGATGCTTAAGTAAGTTCGGGAATAGAAAGTTCAACTGACAGATCAAATAGGCTTGTATGCCGTTAGTTCTGATTACCTCTATTTTGGGATAGTTGGTCTCCTTTTATAGGCCTTGGGAGGTGTGCATTTTGTTGATAATTTTGATGTGGGACTGTGGACGTCGCTTGGGAGCGTGCCACGTGTCCTAGGTGAGGGCGTTGCCCTAATGGAGAGATCGGTAAGTAGAGTGCCGAGGGCGCCTCTGACCAAGCCCAATTTCCTCCACGTGTCTTGCTCTCATTGGCAGTTTATTTTTGGTGTAAACAGCAGGTACGACAACTTTGTTTCTGAGCATATAGTGAATGACTGGTACCCGTTCTTCAACTAGCCAACTAGTTGAATTGGAACCTGAGATTGAACAAAACTTCGAGCAATTCTTAGGAAACAAAAAAAAGACAAAGAAAAGAAGAATCAACAAGAAGAAGAAGAGATGGCCCTTGTACTGAATGAAACAATGGGAGACCTTGATATCCCAACAATTCCGACATCACCTTCAAGCATCGTTCTCCCTGTAGCTGCCAGGAATTATTAATTGAAAAATATTCACTTTAATATGATGCCTTCTTTTCATGGATTAAGTTCTGAAGATCCTTTAGCTCATATTAGAGATATTTTTAACATGGTTTCTAACATGGCTTTGACAGAGGGAGTCACCGAAGAACGTCTCAGGATGAAAATCTTTCCCTACACATTGAAAGATAAAGCAAAGATGTGGCTAAACTCCTTAAGGCCTGGATTACTGACTAGCTGGACAGAGGTTCAAAAAAAGTTATTGGAGAAGTTCTTTTCGACCCAGAAAACTGACGCACTAAGGGATAAAATCATGCAATTCAGTCAACAGGCTGATGAGTCATTTTCAGAAGCGTGGGAACATTTCAATAATTTTTTTAATACAGTGTCCTCACCATGGTTTGCCTACTCTAGTTCTCATGCGTATTTTTTACAAGGCACTAACCGTTTCGAGTAAGGCTGCAGTGAATAACTATGCAGGTGGATCTATTAAAAACAAGACGCCAACTGAATGTCAAACCTTGTTTGATACGCTAGCAATCGAAACACAGCATTCTGATACAAGAGGTAAGCGTGCCGGAATTTATGAAATTGGTAGTTCTAATGCTTTTGCTTCTAAAGAGCAAGTTGACGCTATAACCAGCAAATTGGATGCCTTGCTTGCTATGAATGGTAGAGTACCCACACAAGAGATTTGCTCCATTTGTGCTGTTCCCGGTCATGCCACCATATCGTGTCCTTATGGAGTTGATTTTCCAGAATGTTTGCAAGAACAAGCCAACATGGTGAATACCTATAGACGTCCCGGCAATGATCCATTCTCCAACACATATAATCCGGGATGGCAAAGGCACCCCAATTTTTCATGGAGCACCACTCAAAACGTACAAAAACCACCACCTGGTTTTCCACCTCAAGAGAAGAAAATAAATTTGGAAGATGCTCTTACTCAGTTAACTATGTCTACCACCCAATTCATGACTGAAACCAAAACCCAACTTCAGAATCAGAGCGCTTCTATTCGGAACTTGGAGGTGCAAGTAGGCCAACTAGCTACGATATTGAGTGGAAGAAACTAAGGAGTATGGCCAAGCCAACCCGAGATTAATCCAAAAATTCAAGAACATGTGAAGGCAATCACACTTCGAAATGGGAGACTCATCAAAACTGCTGTAGATTTGGACGTAGAAAAGCACCACCAGCAGTTGAGAGATACGGAAAAAGCTGAAGAAAATGGTCGACCTGCCGCCGTAAGCTCCACCGAAAATTCAGCAACAACGGCAATAAATTTGGAAGAGAAGACCAATGAGCAAGCATCCACAAATCTCACCCCAAAATCCTATGTTCCACCGATTCCTTTCCCACAACGCCTGAAGAAAAATAAGAAGGATGCACAATTCTCCAAATTTCTTGAAATTTTTAAGAAATTGCAAATTACCATTCCATTTGGTGAGGCACTAGACCAAATGCCAAACTATGGAAAGTTCATCAAGGACATCTTAAGCAAAAAGAGACGTTTGGAAGATACAGAGATGATGGAATTGACAGAGGAGTGTAGCATAGTAATACAAAGTCAACTACCACCTAAGCGAACTAATATTTCTATTCCTTGCACCATTGGCACTATTTCTTTTCAAAGAGCATTGTGTGATCTAGGTTCTAGTATTAATTTAATGCCTTTGTCTGTAGCTAAAAGAATTGGTTTGGGGGAAATTAAGAAAACTAATATTTCTTTGCAGATGGCGGATAGATCACTTACATATTCTCACGGCATTCTTGAAGATGTACTAGTGAAGGGGGATAAATTCATATTCCTAGCTGATTTCATAGTTTTGGATATGGAAGAAGATGTCGACACTCCAATTATTTTAGGCCGCCCATTTCTCATTACGGGAAAAATGATAATTGACATAGAAAAAGGTTCTTTGATCCTACGAGATGTTGATCAAGAGGTGGAATTCAAAGTTTTTGATGCAACCAAGTATCCCATTGATTCGGAGTATTGTTTTCGTTTAGAAGCAGTAGATCATGTTGTTCGACCACAATTCATAGCGGACAACCCAAAAGATCCACTCAAAGCAAGTTTGGTTCATGAGATAGAGGTAGGAGAAGAGCCACACGTGCTCGAAATGATGAACTCATTGGAAACAAAGGCCGTCCCAATCACCATTGCCGTACGAACCGGCACTTTGCAAAGATACTTGGAAGAAAATTGCAATCAACCAAAGGAGACCTTCACTCTTCCTGATCCCGGGTGATAATCATTCCAAAAGTCGGGCTGGGGACTATAAACCAAGCGCTTATTGGGAGGCAACCCAACTAGGTACCTTCGTTCCTTGCTTTTCAATTAAAATTTTTTTTTTTAAAATTCTTTATTTTCCATCCCTCTATGCCTTTACTAATCGTTACATGCATATACTTTAAACATTGAGGACAATGCTTAGTTTAGGTTTGGGGGTGTGGAATTTTGCTGTTTATGTTGGTATTTGAGTTTTAAGTCATAAAGAAAAAGAAAAAGAAAAAAACAGATTTTATGTTCCAAAGAAAGGATTTTGTGTTTCAAAGAACATTTCTTGAATTTTTGTAGCCCCAAGATGATTGCAACATGTTGCAAATGTGTTACATAAGTTGTTTTGGTCATTAGATGACCATAAAACCCAGAAAATAGCAAAAGAGGTTATTTTGTTCTTATTTTGGTCAAAATCAAAATTTTTGCCTCTTTTCCTTTTTGATGTTTTTCAGGTAAATTTGAAGCCACTAACATGTTTAGAATGATTATTATGATTATTTGAAACAGGTTTGGGGGTCTCAAGTTGTTTACATGATGTTTTAGGAAGATTTGAAGCTAAAAAAGTGGCCTAAAACCCAAAAAGGCTAGCTGCTAATTGCCCAGAAATATGAAGATTTTTCGTCACAAAAGGGTTTTAGCGACGACTGTTCATCAGATTTTTCGTTGCTAAAGGTTTTCACTGACGGTGTTCATCAGATTTTTCATCACTAAAGGTCAATTTTCCAGAATTTTCTGATTTCATTCCAAATCAATTCCGATCCATTCCATTCGCGATCAAAGTTTTCTAGGAGCTATTCCAGGTGTGTCCTCTTCCTTTTGATGAAATTTCTTTGTTCTTAAGCGATTAGAACTCATAAATTCATGCATATTTGTTTACAAAATCACAAAATTCCTTTAACTTTTTAAAAAAATTAAAATTTGTTAAAGCTTGTACTTTCTCTTACTAATAGTGATGTATATGTAATGTTTAATCATATTTCTTTAACTAAAGTGTTGCCATGAAATTTTATGCACCATAATTATAGCACTTCACATAGCCATGCTTCAAGTATTTTGATGGACAAGGTAGCTATACTTGGATGATTGTGGAGAAATAGTTGAGACTACCATTGTGAAATACTTGAGCCAAATTGTCATTTATTGAGAGAGTATTTGGGATTATTCTTATTAGCTATTTTCATTCCTTCTTATTTAGATTGATCTCATTAAGCTTTTGAATTGAATACTAAGAACTAATCTCTATTTTGTATGAATCATCTTATGCTTTTACTTTTGAGTTGGATGGACCCTGAGAGATGATGTTAGGCTATGCATGTTCTAACCACTAAATAAGCCTTATATCCTACCCATTGTGTGTGCCATCAACCCTTTGAAGCCAAACACTTAGCCTTTTCTTTCATCATCCACAATATTTCTTTACCCCTTCTTACCCTATTTTTAGCCATACCCTATAACTTGGGATATGCCATAACAGCACATGAAGACAAGGATGAAGGTTAAGCTCTACATCAACAAAAGAGGTGGCGTGTACTGAGGAAATATGTGCTTAAAGTTCAAGAAAAAGAAAAAGAAAATAGAAGAAAAAAAAAAGGGATATATATTCAAAAAGAAGAAAAAAAAGAAAAAAAGAAAGAAAAAAGTGAAGCATATCAAAAATCCTAGACGCCTTTGTGAAGTAAATTGGAAGAGCGCCTTATAACGCGATAAATGCCTTGGTATGTCTCAAGTTCTAGTATTTCCTATCCTTTCTTTCATAACCGATAACCTAGCCCTTCATTACAACCATAGTAAAGACCTAACGGATCTTTGGGGACTTCTTACTCGAAAGTGGAGGTATGTACTTCATCTATGGTTCTTAGTATTTGATTTCCTTTCCATGAGATCTATTTTCAGAAATTGTCTTTTATTCATTTGGATGCATATGTGTCTTACATTTTGATTTCTTCACCTAACTTCATTCACATATGCGGGGTAAGAGTGCAACCCTAGGTTCTGTGAGAAAATTGAGAGTTATCCCGTGAGACCTAGAGTCGAGGCGAATTTGTACACACACCAAGTGTGGTTATTTTTAAGTTCGAATGCTTGGAGTATTGGCTTTACACTTTACACTATGGTGCATTTTATTTGTAGTGGCATAACTTTAGATTTTGAATTGTGATTGACATTCATTGGTTATTATTAGTTTGTTGGAAGTATTTCTTTAACGAATTTGTTTTGCAAGGAGCGTTTGTGGGTGTCGTGACTGGTAAACCATTAGGAGACACAACTCCTCCTACTAGGGATACCTAGAGGTTTAAAGGCTTGTGGCACATGCTAAGTGCCATCGAGATTACCTGCGAAAGTGGTTTAGTTTAGTTTGTTTGTTTTATTTTATTTTTGATTTTCAGTTTTGCTCGAGGACTAGCAAAAGATGGGTTTGGGGGTATTTGATAAGCCTATATTTTATATATATTTTATGCCTCCTTTACTTATCTATTTGTTAATTTCCTTGGATTAAATTGGTTGTTTAAATTGGTTTTGTGAGATTTGTGAAGGAATTGTGGAAATAGGAGAAAGTGTGCTAAAAAGGGCAAGAAGATGAAGATTGGAGATTAATCAAGTCAAGAAGCCAAGTCATTCCTTTTGTCGCAAGGAATGTTGTCAAATTTCCTAATTCAAGATGTTTCAAGTCTTATCAAGTCAAGCAAGGAGAAATAAAGAAGACCCTATTTTGGAAGGAATCCTACTTTTATAATAATTGTAATTATACCTTAGATAGGTAGGATTTGTAGGAGTATTATAAATAGGGAGTTTAGGTCATTGTTCAAAGGACCGATCGAATTACCCACCATCAAATTCCTACACATTCATACTCATAGCCGAAATATCCAAAGGAGAATACGAAGAGAGCTTGCGCAACCTTGGCATTCTACTTGGAGAATTCGGTGCCTTCCATGTCTTCATCAACTATCAAGATTCTCAATAAGTCCTTCATGAACTAATTTCTTTTACTAGGGCTACAATGTAGCCTAGCTATGAATACTCGAATTCTTTGATATTGTTAATTTTATTTATCTGTACATGTTGAGTGCTTGTTACCGTTCTTAATGCTTTCAATTAATTGGCCACTAATTGCATGATTAGAAGAATTAGGTTGAAACCGAAAGGAGATTCCTAGTAAATAGCTTCTTGTAACAAGTACCATAAATTACATAGCCGACTCCGAAGATTAGGTTATGGTTTGTGTAATCTTCATTGTTTTCCACAAATCTTAATGGGTTCTTAGCTATCTAAATCCATAACTAGGAATAGAGTGGGTTGACTGTAAGGAATACAACTAATATAACTCGGAAGAGAGTATTAGTGAGGTAAGGGAAAACGATTATCAACATGTTAGGTAATTAGGATTAACAAGCTAGAAGGATTTGGGTGGGATTAGCTAGGTGAAATCGGTGCCCTAGTGCTTTATCATCTTTGTTTTCATCTTTTACATTATTTCCTTAATCTCAATTTATTTTACTTGATTAATTAGATTTTAATCATCATAATTCATCATAATTCTCTTTTCATTTAATTCAAATATAATTAGAAATAAATCACTCTAGTATTTAATAGATTAACTTGATCCCTGTTGGAACGATACTCTACTTACTACTATATTAATTTGAGCGATATTGTCCACTTGCAATTAATCACATCATGAAGCATGATAATTACTTCCCTATTGGAAGTTCTTCTGCTGCCCTTGTGGATTAAGCACATTCTGACTGTTGCTCCAAGAAAAATTTGGGTGGTCTTTCCATCCTGGATTATAATTGTTCGGATATGGGTTGTTCTTAGGATGATAGTTGTTTTACCCCACATAATTAGCTTGCTCATGATCTATAAAACAAGACATAGGACAAGTCTCAGTAGTATGATTAGAATGAGAACATATATAACACATACCTCGACTTTAGCAATTTGTTGAACTTGAGAGATGTTCTAAGCTAACATTGGTTTCACCAGCATATCTAACTTCTTCTCCATTGCTGCCATTTGACTCTGGACTTCACCATTTATGCTAACTTTATAAACACCTTTACTTTTTACTCCTTGTCTCCCTCTTGATGAGAATTGGTGAGAATTTTCACTTAGGGTCTAAAATAGCTCAATGGCTTCATCACTGCTCTTTTCCATAAGCACACCTCCACAAGCTAAATCAACAAGACTTTTGTTAATATCATTTAAACCTTCTTAAAAAGCTTGTACCTGATCATCTTGAGATAGATTGTGGTGTGGACACTTGAGAAGCAACTCCTTGAAATGATCCCATGCCTCAAAGAAAAGATCTCCACCCTTTTGTTGGAAGGTTTGAATCTCCCTTTTAAGTTGTCTTGTCTTTTGGGCCGAGAAAAACTTCTTCAAAAATTTAGTGGCCAATTGTTCCCAAGTAGTAATGGAACCTGCAGCTAGAGAATTCAACCACAACTTAGCATTATCTTTTAAGGAGAAAGGAAAGAGAATTAACCTAATTCCTTTTGGAGTTAAGCCCTGGATGTTCTGAGTCTTGCAGAGATCAAAGAAATCCCTAATGTGCAAGTATGGATCCTCAGAAGGTGTGCCTCTATAGTCTTGCACCATGTTAAGCAATTGATGTGATAAATTGAAGCTGCCTTGCACAATTGGTTGGTAGGCAATGCATGATGGTTGATTAAGGTTTTGAGGGACAAAGGAGTCCTTCATTGGCCTTTGAACCTGTTCATCCCCCATTTGTTTCACAGATTCTGATCTTTCTCCTTCTTCAAAATCTTCTCTTTGTGTGTTAAGTTTTGCCTTCTCAGCTTGCTTTCAAAGATGTCTAAGAGTTCGTTCAATCTCAGGATTGTAGACAATGATTGCTAAATTTTGGGATCGACGACCTTGGATAAACAAAATTCAACCTGTAAAAGAAAAGAAAAAACCAATTTCAGCACAAACTAGTTACACAATCCCCGGCAACGGCTCAAA